ACTGGGATGCACAGATAGGGGCAGCTCAATAGGGGAATCTACAGAGGCAAGGAAAGTATCAGACCAGTCAATTACATCCTCATTTTTACACGCTTGTGCACGAGTAACTGCGCACGCGGAGAACGTTGACGGGAATTGACTGACAAGCTCCACATTACAAATAGGAGTGTTTGTCACAATCGGGTAAGGAAACACCTTACCACCAGCCAGGTCGTTTCCTAAAATTAAACTCACACCTTCTACAGGCAGTCTTGGACGTACTCCCACTTTTGCAGGACCTGAAACTAGATCAGACATCAGGAATACAGTATGAAGGGGAACTTTTATACAGCTCAACTCAATTCCACGGACCAAAACATCCATTCCTGTATAAGTTACTTGAAAAAGGTAACACCTCCAAGGATGAACGACTGATCTGCTCCTGTATCCCTCAAAATAGAGATGGCTTTCACCATTGAATCAGGAGAAACTGCTACTTTACCCTTGAACACAAAAGGAGTAAAAGCAGAGACATCCGAAAAACTCTGGTTTTCAACATTAACCATCGGTTCACATACCACATTGGCCACACTTTTAGGTTTCCCTGCAATGTTCTTCTTCCAAGCTTTGCAGTCAGCAATCAGATGACCAGGGTCGAAGCAATAAAAACAAACTCTTTTATTCTCAGAGCTCTTACCCGGTTCCTTACGCTGCTCTGTAGAGCATGCTACAGGTTTCATAAAATGTGAAAAAGGTTTTTCAGTATTCGAAACACTGACATACCATAATTCTGACCAGTAGCAAAAGAAAAAGTCAGTCTTATGAGTAAGCATATATTCATCTGCCAACACTGCCGCAGCTGAAAGGGAACTCACTTTTTGCTCATTAAGGTAAGTTACTAAGTTATCTGACAAACCGTTCTTGAAGTCCTCCAACAAAAACAGTTCTTGCAACTGATCAAACGTAGTTGTTTTAGATGCAGCACACCATTTTTCTAACAACATTTTTTTATCACGTGCAAAACCCACAAATGTTTGCTTCGTTGATTTGATGTAGCTACGAAACTTCTGTCTGTATGCTTCAGGAACAAGTTCATAAACCCTCAAAACAGCCGCTTTTACCATGTCATAATTAAGAGAGTCTTCGATGGGTAAAGCAGAACACACTTCTTGTGCCTTACCCACTAGACTGCACTGCAACATTAACGCCCACATATCTCTTGGCCAATTAAGCTTAGTTGCAATTCGCTCAAATGCAATAAAGTAAGCGTCAACTTCTGACTCACGAAACTGTGGTACAAGCTTAATATGCTTACTAGGATCAAATGAAATTATAGCAGCAGGTCTATGTATAACATTCTCTACAGGCTGATCAGTTTGAGGCACACTTACATGCATAGAAGTTACAGCAAGTGAAATTGCAATTTGAGCATGCTCCCTTTCTTGGGCTTTCATCATGAAGCATTTCAAGTTCACACAAATGTAATCTACGATTCTCATGCTCCTGTCGTTTAATCTGCAATTATAGCTCCTTTAATTTAAAAAGCAGCAAAGGGTCTGATCTAGATGAGGGAAAATCAATTGTTCCACCTATCGCTAATCCATCACTTTTTCCCTCTTCACCTTCTAAATCAGTTTCTGCAGACAGTAACCCTTTTTCGACAAGTTCAGCATACACTTCAGCTTTAATTACTTTCTTCACTGCAGAACTTGATACAGAAATATTCAAAATTTCAGCAATTCAAATACTTTATGAAACGCATCAAATTGCTGTATACCACGTTTAGAAACAAATGATCCAATATCTAGCTCCATATTCACTCAATGCTTTTTACCTTCTTAAAAACAAGATAAATAAAAACAATTGTTACCCACTGAAAAGAGACCAAAAATTTTACATTTTAGACATTCATTAACAATAAAACTCATTCAAAACAAACAAGTCAACTAAGCGAACAAACTTCCACTTGTTGTCCACAAAAAAAAAAACAAGCAGACGAGCCCCCATTTGTTACGAACAACGCATTAAATCCCTACTCAAAGAGAAATAAACTGGTCCATAACAGTTAACAGGGATCCATCTAGGAAAGATCCCTGGGGTCCCCACTCTCATTCTTAAATTTGTCAACCACAAAACACTTAGTGCAAATAAAAGTAAGTTTATTAACAAAAGAAACAAAGGAACATCATAAACTTCAGGAGGGGCAATTTGCCAAAGTAAATTACAATAAACAAAACTACTAATAAACAAACTAACCTAGAAATCAGATAAATAAAATACAAGTTCTTACCTCCCTGCTAACATAAACAGGCACCCACCTCCCTACCAAGCTCCACTTAAAGTTCAGGAAGTAAGCGTCCAAACATAATAAATATCAAATACAACTAAACTGTTACATAATTCAATGATTGACAACAAATGTCTAAATTAGCGATCCTTTCGCCAACACACGTCACACAGCGGGCACACCAGTAGCCACCAAGAGAGCAGGGAGCCAACAATTCCTTCCACCGGATGGCTTAAGTACTGCGGCAATCCTTCCTGTCTCCAACCAATTCAGTCCTCCTAATCAGCTCCACCTGTAATCAATTAGAGCGAAAGAGGGAGAGACAGAGAAACACAGGGGAAGACCTATGCACACGCACACGAACGAGTAATATGCCATTTCCCTAGCAACACACGAATCCATTCGTAACAGATATATGTCCAGACAGTAAGAAAAGCCGGGTTTCGGCTTCATAGCTTGCCTTTCCCGTATGGCCCAGTACTTCCGGGTATCTGTAAACAGATGCTCGAAAACTCTAAAATCCAAATACCATAGTAAGTGCACACGTTAAGCTTTGCACACTTTTCTACAAATCCACATAAGTGGTAAGTGTGCACGTTATGCTTTGCCCACTTTTCTAAAATCCACATAAGTGGTAAGTGCGCACGTTATGCTTTGCCCACTTTTCTAAAATCCACATAAGTGGTAAGTGTGCACGTTATGCTTTGCCCACTTTTCTAAAATCCTGTATGGTAAGGGTTACGCATTTT